ATCGTGGGCAGATATCGATTGTTATTGGAGGGCCAACAATGTCTACGTCTGAGTAAACCTCTAAGAGCCTAATCGGATGTGCCGATCAGGGTTCTGGTGTGCGTGTGTTGCTTGGCATACTCTGTAGGCTTTTGTCCACCTAGTAATGTCTCTTTACGTCTATGGCAAGAAGGAAAAATTTGCGACTGGACACGAAATAAATTGATAGTCAACAGAAAAAAGAGACTAATGAGAAAAAACACAAGTAAACGGAAGATTAGGGAGGCCACCAACATTCTTGCTAAAAGAAATTTAATGAAGAGGGGATTGGAAGAAGGCAGAGTTAACTTTGCCTATTGCATTAGCAAACAAGGATACGATAAAACCGGCAAAATAGAGGCCTGTTTAAAGGACTTATCGTTAATTAGAGGAAAGGAAAGCGCAAGGGAGAAGTGGATGAGGAGCATTTGGAGATCAAAAAACGTTCTCAGTGAGTCTAATATACTCCAAGAAACAACTAAGATTTTGGGGCTGGCTGTGACAGGGATAGGGCAGCAAATAATTATAACCGTCAGATAACTTCGGCATTATAACCAAATTGAGTAGAAATCCATTCGAAATCCAGCAGGCGACCATATATAAACGTTTATAGTTTGTCCAGTATTTGACCGTGGGCTTGGTAAATTCCCAGACGTTACGTAGGCAAATCAATGAGCCTGGCCAGTCTCAGCAACACAATGCACCTCGTTAATGAGGCTAGTGAAGTCAATAACTTGACCAGCCCTCTGTCGAATGGTCATGTTATCACTCCCCTTTTTGTTTTGGCCCCTCTATCTACATCTCATTCTAGAATTATCACGACTCCTGGCTTGCTTACATTCAACTCCTTAAAAGGTGTGCTCTCTTTGCAGAGTTCAGTGTGGCGTCATCATATGTGCTGTTCACTTTGCTCTCCTTCCTTTCATTTGGCTGATATGACTCGTACCTCCTATCCGGATCTGCACTATTTATCAAGCCCCACCGCCCCACCGAACAGAGCCACTAGGCTCTATTATCATATTTGTGGATATCAAGCATTGTCTTCACAGATAATCTCATTGATCCAACGAAGTAGTGAGACAGAAGTCAGCGAATGAATATATGGAAAGAAATAAGAATCCATCTTCGGATTTCAACAAGTAACATTTTAAGTGCCCATCGGTAAAAAGAAATTGCAAAAGAGAAATTATAAATTATGGGATCACATACCCCGAATAAAAGCGACGTTATGTTTGCGTACATCCAGCATGCATTCATGAGTGAGCATTATAACTTATGATCTTAAATGACTTGATATGGGTTAGGATTTGATTTGAAGTTCAACTATCGTGAAAATGAGTGATGATCCCTTTATAATAAATAAAAAGTAAAAGCAAAATAGTAAAGATACCTTTTTGTCGTTTAATCGACAGTTCAGATGATCTACAGGAGGAACGAGAACGATCCGCTGCCCCACGTACAACCGAACTATCTTTGCTTGTATGCCGAGAGCTTCGGGCCATAGTACTGACAGAAGAAATAGTTGTCCCTTGGACTTCAGACAAGACTAAGGGTATTTGATTAATTTTCGCCAGTTTCACATCGCCACTTTTACTTTGAGTTTCATCCGCCGAATTCTTAGGTGATGAAGTGACAGATAAGGATTGATCAGAAGCATGAACATCGATTGAAGGAAGACGTCTCTGAACCAAATTTGATTGACGGAGCGACCGTTGTTGGCAGAGTTTTTCCTGGTGCTGCTGAGCTGGGTCCTTAGAAGTGCCTAGGACCTGACTCCATTTGGCTGTCCAGTAGGCCACCTCATCCGATCGGATTGGTTGGACCAGCATAGAGGGAAATGCGCCTTGCTTCAGATGATACTTTGGCTCCTTTCCTAAGGGTTCAAATTAATGAGAAATTGATTATCGAAAAGGTCCGAATTTATTCCTAATGCAATTCCACGATTTAGTTGCCTTAATTTGAGGCTAGAGTTAGGGCCATATATCGATGACTCAAATAAAAAAAATTAAAAAGGCTCTAAGTATAGATAGAAAGGGAACATAGAGATAGAATTTCTATAGGAAGCAAAATAAATAATGTGATTTAGGATCGTTGAGAAATTTCAGCCGAGCTCTTGGTTGTCTTATTCATCCTGGGGAAAATTAAAAGGATAAAAACCACAAATAGCCATTATACTTACAATTCATTTTGAGTAGGTTCTCGAGACTATCAGTAAGCCAGATCTGTGAGTTATGTTCACTCTATTTCGTTTAGTTTATACTTACATCAAACAGCAAACTTAGTTCGGAGGAGATTTTGATTTTAAAAAGAAACTATGATGCAAAAACTAGGGGATTTTATTAATTAAAACAACCATTAACTAAAATTTTACATGCTTAAAGCTCGGCTTTGTGTCTGTAGGAATGAATAAACAGAGACTTCATATTAAACTAGCTTCTTATCTTCACAGAATAAATTCACAAGAAACATTCCTGAACGAATAGATTCCGCCTATATAGATTCGGCATTTCTCATAGTAATTTTGTATAGTGAACTCGATCCAAAGATGTTTTGTGATCGCCCTTCTATTTAATTATACCTGTCTTATCATCCAAGAGCCGCTTCATTATAGGCATGGCGCCATATCTTCTCTAAACATGAAATAAGTAGCAATAACAAGAGATGAAGATGATTTTATGGCGGGCGAGAGCAGAAAATAAGACTTGGATACTTGCGCTTTTAAACTTCCGGCGGCAACAGCAAATTTGCCGAATATGAGTCTTTAATTAAGCCCTGGACATGATTACTTATTTGAGTAAAGGTTGTAGTTATCTGTCTCTTTAGTTATGTGATTTCCAGGACCCCAAAGTTATAAGTTTTTCCTCAATCCGACTAGACTTACTTTCCGAAGGTTCCTTATCCACTTCTCCCTTGATATCCCTATTCCTGTGAATAACGATAGGCCTTTTATCCATGCATATTATTTTTGCTAGTCTTGTCGTATCCTTGTTTTCTCAGAGTTTTCTTAAGCAATAGATAAATTATCGCTAATTCTGCCTTCTTCCAATCAATTTGTGTTCCCAAATGATGTCAATGGCCTACCTAAACCTTTATTTCCTTGTGTTTTAACCATATGAAGCCCTTCCTATTGATCTTGTGCCCAGTCTAGGCGATGTGTTCTGCTATTTTTGATCTTTCTATATCAATTTTCCTGCAGAGCCGTTGATGTTGCTTGATTCGTAGGCTGATTATAAATGATAACCGGACCTGTGGAAATGCCATGTTTACATACATAAAGTAGTCGTTTGTATACCTAATTAATAACTTTGAAACCTTCAGTGAAATTGAAATTAAGTTAAGCACAGAATAAGTATTGCGGTTACTAGTTAAAATTGAAACCAAGCGCTAACTAATTAAACACATAATGTCCATATTAAAATTCATCAGCATAAAAATGTAATTCCAACTCGGTCATATTGGTAGGAAGACTTAGAGGAACGCACCTTGTCCGGAGTCCATAGTATGCATAATCATTTCCAAAGATGAACCTTGGACGTGGTACATTCCCAGACGTTTCGCCGGCATCGTATTCGGCATCGTCAGTGAGTCTCGTCATCCGTAGCACCATATTACAACTCGTCAAAGAGACAAGTGAAGCCCATCTTTTGACCAAACGTGGGCTAAACAATTATGATATCTCCCCTTCTGCCCTGGCCTATTCACATTTCCTATATCCTCCTATCATGCATTCCCTGTCACAATTTTTACCGTGTTTATTTTTTATGTTGTTTGGTGTGCTCCTTCGAGCGGCATTCATGAAAACCCTTAACACTCCACACTGTCGTTATCACCCCCTTCACCCTTGTGCTGGGAATGTCGACCAGAGTCTGCCATATTGTTACGTAGTCCTTTCCAGGGTCCTAACAAAGTCTACCTCTTGCCCTGTCGAATCCGTCTTCTATCTAACACAACGTTTGTGGGTTAGCGCACAACATTGAACCCAAACAAAGCCAGCAGTACTATAACATTTGTGGGTTGGCACACAAACAACCAGGGTATGACAAGTCATAGACTTGGTATTAGGAATAGAGACAGGATAAACGAGGCTGCGATTGGAGCTAGTTGGCTGACAGTAGGTTTTACAAGAGACATGGTCTATGTGGCAGAGGCGTGACCATTAGACTTATTCTGAGGTTAGAGCCTCGAATTAGTCACCCAGATGCAGGGGATGGACAAATTACGCCTCGAATAGCACAGATGGGGGGACAGGGGTCGAGTTAAATACATGTACAAGGGATATAGCAGACGGATTCGACGGGGCAAGAGAAAGACTTTGCTAGGACCCAGGGAAGGACTATGTAACAATATGGCAGACTCTGGTCAACATTCCCAGCACAAGTGTGAATGGCGTGATAACGACAGTGTGGAGTGTATAGGGTTTTTATAAATGCCGCTCAAAT